CAGATAGAGCTGTTAAACAAAGGAATTAAAATGTATACAAAAAGTATTATAATGATTGCTTTTATATTGTTAGTAAGGCAAACATTATAATAATAATTTCTCATTTGCCGTCAGCATTCAGCAAATACGCATTTATATCATTTAAACAAATCTTTGAATGACTAATGAACATTTAATTTCACAAACCTTGCAGACTTAGTCGAATCTAGTTGAGATCTTGTGAAGTGTGCATTTGTATCCTGCATGATTGCGTGTTCTCTGTGTGACGGTCGGTCCGTTTGAATGGAATGCTGACAGGAGGAGAGTTCAGCTTCACTGGAGACGCGGGATCGACAAACTTTAAACTGGTGAATTCAAATTATACTCCGCTTTATGCATTTGCCCACTGTCATATTCTTGTCATTTTCATTGCGTGCTGTATGTAAAATGAGTGTTACCTTGGCTTTATTTAAAAAAAAAAAAAAAGATTCCCAATGCACACAAACTTCCCAGAATACTGAGTTCCAAGATATCGGCATCGGCTGTCAAAAAACCCATATCGGTCGACCACTACTTAGCGTATGCTCCGGTGAGAAGTGAGGAACACGGAAGCACAGAGCAGAGAGCAAAACAAAACACCTGTCACGAATTAGAAGTACAAAACGAGGATTTGTAAATAAGAATGTTGGAGGATTTCGATATTAGCCAAGAGGAGACCCTTGCTGTAAACAAAAATTGGTTCTCGCGAGACTAGCATATTCTCACCGGAGCTTACGCTACACCCAAGTCATCCGCTGGAACACCACTCTCTTCAAAATCTTGAGACCCATTCACGGCCATTATAAAGCTTGGAAGAACCAGGTAATTTTTTAGTATAACTCCGATTGTATCTGAAAGAAGAAAGTCAAATAGACCTTGGATGGCTTGAGGATATATTGGCATGATCTTTTAATTAACGTGGAATTACTGGTGTAATTTATTATTATTATTTAAAGGGGTCATGAAAAGCAGTTTCAGATTTTTGTATTGTGTTTCTTAAGGTTAGTTTATAAAGTTGGCAAAGTTATTGTACCAAAAAATAATTGTATATTTGTAAAGTATTTTCCTCATTCATACTCTGTGAAACACACTAAATTTCAAGGGGTGCTACCTCTTGCAGAATTAAAGTAAACGGCCACTGCTGTGATTGTCAACTTCATTGCACTGTATCCAAGCTGTATTGTCTTTTACAGCATGTTGTGTTTTGAAACATAAGATGGGAAGCACTGTGATAGAGGCATATATATATATATATATTGTCCTTTATTGCTCCTAACAGCTCAACATGCGGCATTAATTTGTTGATAATTGCTCTGCCCTGCTGTTAACATGCCGCACTCTCTAAGAGCATGTTATATAACATCTGCAATTCAGCCCACGCTCATGGCCATCCAGTGTGGCACAGCCAATGGCAGCTGTCAGCTTTCATTTGAGGGTTGAAGGACACTCTTCAGCTTTGGAGAAGAAGTGTCAGCGTGCGTGATAGACCTCAGCAGACGTCCGCCGCACAGTTCCCCCTGTGCAACCTTAGGACTTCAGAAATGACATTGCTGGTGAACCCTAATGTTTGAACGGCTGAAATAGAACGTCCTTTTCTATCTGACTAAAGATACTTGTCGTTCGGTGGTCAGGCTAGAACAGGAGCCCACGCTTTATTCCATGTATTGTACTATAAGACCCTGCACTATTCTCAGCTCAGAGATGGCTTTATGTAACAGTGACTGTTGTATAATGCCTTCAGCCTCTTCTAATGTGATTATCTTTTTTCCCACTCCCTGTCTGCTTTTGAACAAGACCCCAGTCATGAGGTTAAACTTAAGCAGAGACCCCAACCACCACCTCCTCAACAGGGTCATCCCTTAGACCTATTAGCAGTTGCTCATTTCCACGGGAATCAGGTGACGGGGAGCCTCTCCTAGCCAACGCAACAGATTTTTCCAGCTCTTGTTGCTCTGGAAATCAGACGTCGGAGGCATTAAGTAGGGATGCACCGAAATGAAAATTCGAAATTGAATTTTTTTTTTCACCATTGCATAAATTAAATAGCCAAAATGTGCTTTTTACTGTTTTGTCCTCTTTTTCAAATAAAAAATCAATTACAATCAACTATTTAAAAATGTTTACTTAACACTGAACATTTTAGCACGATTTAACTTAAAATTAATAAGTTAGTAAAATATTTTTGTGCATTTTTGAGACTTGAATCAGGCATGTATTTTTTTACTGTACAAATAAAGGCAGCCTTGCTGAGCAGAAGAGACTTCTTTTAAAACAGAAAATATTACAGATCCCAGTCTGAACACTATATGTGAATGCTATAATAAATGTATTAATATGAATGTTGATGGAGTTGTTGCTTTTTCTCGACTTTTCAGAAACCCGCAGGAAGATCTCAGTGCTTCTTTTTGTTGACAACAGCATGCAGATTTATGATTCTCATTACGAATTTGGGAAGATGCTTGTCGCACATATCACATTGTCACATGACTTTAAAAAAAAATCACAAAAATGTTACTGAGCAACTGGCGAGTAACAGTTTTAGCGCAGATTTTCCTTGTGCTTTGGACTTTAAACCCTGGCGCCGCGAGCTCGTGCAGCGCTGTCAGAATGCATGCAATTCGTGCGTGCATTAGAAAATATAACATTCTGCAGTTTATTTACTAATCGTTTGAGCTAAAGTGAATGCTTTAGTTTTAAACCCAAGCTCCTGTCCACTGCTTTTGACTGTTGTTTAGTGCTCTTGTGGAGGTCAGTTTGTCTCTTGCTTTTTATAGAGGCTGCAAATTCTCCTGGCACTTTTGTTCTACCTGTTTTTACTCGTTACGTGCAGCCGAGAGAAAAGAGCCATTGTGCTCATCAGCTGTCTGTTACACAATGCACTCAAACCTATTAAGAAGGAAAGACAAAGCAAAGCTGTTTTTCCCCCCTCCGTTGGCCGTGTTGAATCAGCAGAGCCACTGGTGATATCTCTACATGTTCACCATTTTGAGCAATCTGCATCTCGAGAGGCTGTCCACAGTCTCAGGTTGCTGAGAAGTGCTGGTGCTCTGGTTTGCTCTGGCAAATAAAGGACTGATGTTCTCAAGCAGAGAAGTCACACGGATGGCAGCACGTGTAGTTTGGGTGTGTGGCGTTGTGACCGAATTACGAATGGCCACTGACATGCGCTTAGAAATCACCAGCTCTCTTTGAAAGTGAATGGCTTTTGCAAATCACTGTGCTTGTAAACAAACTTTAAGGCTCCTGTTATTGCTTAAAAAGTAGTAGTTTTAAAAGTAGTTTTGTTTCATTTTGTGGTTTTTGTTTTGTTTTTTGGTTCATATTCGTTATTTATCTTAAATCCTGAAAAATGCTATTTTAGTAACACTGCTAAATGCCATTCTTTGCAGATCTTAATATAAATATCCATCCTTCATACTGTACCACCTAAATTCAATTCAGTTTTAAATTGAGCAGTTTTATGATTTTTTTTATCTTTAATATCAACGATTTAGTGGTTACCGACCATAGCATGAATACATTTATCAGCTTATCTGTATCAACCAGAATTTTAATATCAGTGCATACATGGTAATACCATGAATTTTGAGTATTTGATTCTAAGGAAGCTGGATTTGTATTTGGAGACCAGCTGTAACCGTATTCCTAACCTCTTACCTTGGCAGCAAATACAAATCTCCCAAGAGTTTTGGAGAATTACTGTCCATCACCCATTTACACCAGAAAAGACTATTATATTGAGGCTTCTCTTGATGAAGCCATGTGCTTAACTCTCCTTATTTCTTCCCACGATTGGAATTTTCTTGCAACACAGAACAGCTCTGTCATGGGATTTGCACAGGAATTCCTACAGATTTCTGTCCTATGGCCCCATCTTTTTCACTTACTTCCAACTCTTTGGTCAAATATGGGCCCCATCTCTTCAACTAAACTGATCAAAATCTGTCACTTTAATCACATCACAGTTGACTTCCCCCAGCAGCCGCACCTGCCGGCCATTCAGTCGGGCTTGTAGCCGTATAAGGGATGTGGCATGATCCTCACGCTGTTCATTTGTAATCTGAGATGCCTCCTTTTACGTTCATTATTCTGACAAAAATGAAAGGTCAACTAGCTGTCAGCTATATTTCTGTATATATAAAGCATTGATCTTGTTTTGGTTTAGCACTCAGTGGAGATGTTGCTAAGCATTTAGAGACATGGTAAATGGTCGCTTACTTCAACGTTACATGCTGCAAAGTTTCTATTGTTGTTTCCTGTTTAGCTTAATGCTGTCAGGTCTCTGCATGCCTAAGTACATTTCAGGTTATATAGACTAGAGGCACAGTGACCCATTTGGCAGTCCTCCAGTGTGGACTAGTTTACATGTTGTGTTTTCGGAACAATAAAAATAATTCAAGTATGCATCGAATATTTTTATGCACACTTGAATGTTAAGTGATAATATCAAAGTAAACCTTAGAATGTGAATTTCCTGGTAGTTTAAAGAATGTATATCGTATTTTGAATGCACTGTCTATCAGATAGTAGTCAATAAAAGCTGTTTATTTAGCTTTTTATGTATTTTTTATTTAATATTTGATTTTTGATGTTTAACATTATGTACAGTTTTTAGCCTAATAGGCACAATTTTTTTTTCTCACGAACTTAACCTTTGACACTATTTAGAGTAGACACACTAGTCATTCCTGAAACTGTTTACCTTGTTACACTGTAGTCAACCTCTGTGGTTGTTAATTGGAGTTAAGCACAATGGCGAGAGCCATTCAGCATTCTTAGCCCATCAAAAAAAAACAACTTACCATGCCGAAGTGCCATATATATTTTGCTTTGCGTATAGTTAGCCTTCTTGGATGTCCTACAGTTTGGGCAGGTTAAGTGTATGTACTAATCCTAAGGATCTGCCTCTCCCTCCATCTTGCTCCAGGCGTGGATATCGAGTCGGCCAGGAAAGAGGAGGAGCGGATCATGCTAAGGGATGCGCGACAGTGGCTTAACAGCGGCCAGATCAATGACGTCCGGCACGCCAAGTCTGGGGGGACCGCACTACACGTCGCTGCAGCCAAGGGATACACTGAGGTTTTAAAGTAAGTTTGCTTGCCTTCAAAAGAAAGATTTTGCCGTTTTGCCAGGATTCAACGTGATAATATTTGTGGTTATTTTTTTGCCAGCAAGTGAGATTTAGCAGCTAGTGGAGGTAGAAACAAATGAAACTTTGGTATTGCAGGTGTAGAGGCTTTATTGCTTTACTTGGGTCATCCCATACTTCACCTTTCAACTCTTTCAGTATCCCAAGGGTCTTGTATGCAGGGCGAGACAGTTTGTAACCTGTTTATCTGTCTCCATTACAGTAGATTATCGTGAGCTGTTGAACAAACACAGCTCAGGACGTGTGTCAGGAGTTAGGCAGCATCTCTGTTTATGGTGCCTTTGGATGTCAGAGTTGAATGACTGTGACAACTGCTCCATCTGCCGCTGCACCAAAACGAGAGGATTGTAACCGGATAGACTTGCTTTTTTGGGTGTGGAATCTCAGAAAACTTCACATCTAATGCGAGCCCATTGGTCCACACAATATCCCAGGCCTTTGGCAAATGAGGCCAAGCTTAGATTGCGGCACCAAAATCCAAGAAACCCAGATTTGTCTAATCTCATCATGCTATTTCTGTCGTCTCTGACTGTTTGCAGGCTTTTAATCCAAGCAGGGTATGATGTAAATATTAAAGACTACGATGGCTGGTCTCCGCTCCACGCTGCTGCACACTGGGGCAAAGAAGAGGCCTGCCGGATACTAGTAGAGCATTTGTGTGAAATGGACATCATCAATAAAGTGGTATGGGATTTATGGTTCTGTCTGTGCTGCTAGCTTCTGTGTAGTCTTTGAATTGAACCCTTACAACCCGTCGCGTTTTGGTTCCCAGGGTCAGACGGCGTTTGACGTAGCTGATGAAGATATCTTGGGATATTTAGAAGAGCTGCAAAAGAAACAGAATCTGGTAATTTCTCACTCTCATCAGATCTTTAATTGTAAATGTAATTTGGCTTTGTAATTGTGAGCTTTGTCTTGATGCGGCCTGTGTTTCAGCTTCTGAGTGAAAAGAAGGATGTTAAGAAGTCTCCTTTAATAGAAACTACGACTACTGGGGACAATAATCAATCTGTGAAACCACTGAAGAGGTAAATGGCTCCTGCTCACTAGAGAGAAACCACCATGATGGGATTGATATACTGTTTACTCGGTGTCTTGACTTTACCATAAATGCGAAGGAAGGAAACATGCACCTGAGTTGACTAGGGGTGTTTTCACACCAGAGCTTTTGGTGTGGACACAAATATGTTTGCAATCAGAGTTTGGTTGATGAAAATGTTTTTTCCAAACTCAGGTGCGCAGCGGAGTCTGCTTGAAAAAGTGGTCTAGAGTTCAGCTCTGGTTCTTAATCCATTTTAAATGGCAAAACCTAACCAAGCTGTGCATCTGTGCTTTAGTAAAGAAACACTTCTACTGGAGCCAGAGAAAACTGCCCCACGAATCGAGACTCTGGAGCCAGAGAAGGTGGATGAAGAAGAGGGTGAGGGGAAGAAGGATGAGTCTAGCTGCTCTAGTGAGGAAGAGGAGGAGGAAGACTCAGAGTCTGAGAACGAAGCAGGTACCTGTTTGAAACATTGTCCGCGACACACTTTCCCAACTAGCTTTGTGCTAATCTGTAAGGTCATTTACTCACCGTTTCTTTTTTTTTCTTTTTTTTTCAGACAAGACCAAGTCTTCTGTTCCGTCGAGCATTTCCAACAGTACACCTGCACCTGCGCCTCCTAGTACCACCGTCATGTCCCCAACTACCCCAAGCAACCAGGTGACCACCCCAACTTCACCTACCAAAAAGGTACATATTCCCCCCTTGAGGGTGCCTGACCCAGACTTCTCCTTGGCAATATCATTTATTCTCTATGTGTAGCATGTATATTTGAGCATGTGTCAGGAAGCAAGAACGTTGGTTTCGAACGAATGTTATTGTCTCAGTTTCAAGGTGACTTGGTTTTGTAACACAGTGAAGGAGTTACAGATTCATAGTGTTACGTGGCATCAGCGCAGCGCGGTCGCAAAATACTAAAAAATCAACTGATCTACGTCTTATTCAGGAATGTCAGTGTGCAGTGAATTCTGGGACTGTGCACTTGAGAGGAGAGAAAATGTCTTCCACGTGTCTTTACCATGTACCTGCTGCCCTCTGCTGGACAGTAAGGGAATTTCATCAATGTCAGGCTTTCATCAGACAACCACACCATTTGTTAGAAAATGCTGTTGTTCAGAACAAATTTGATTGCACATTAGCCACATTTATTGTAACTTAATGTAATTCAATTATTAACTTTTTTAAATATAGTTTTTAAAATAATCCTAATATTTTTCATATTAACCTTAATTATTCAAGTTTAATATTTTTTTGTTAAAGGAACACTCCACTTTTTTTGAAAATAGGCTCATTTTCCAACTTCCCTAGAGTTAAACTGTTTTCGAATCCATTCAGCCGATCTCCGGGTCTGGCGGTAGCACTTTTAGCTTAGCTTAGCATAGATCATTGAATCTGATTAGACCGTTAGCATCTCGCTCAAAAATGACCAAAGAGTTTCTATATTTTTGTTATTTAAAACTTGACTCTTCTGTAGTTTCATCGTGTACTAAGACCGACGGAAAATGAAAAGTTGCGATTTTCTAGGCCGATATGGCTAGGAACTATACTCTCATTCCGGTGTAATAATCAAGGAACTTTGCTGCCGTACCATGGGTGCAGCAGGCGCAATGATATTACGCAGCGCCTGAAAATAGGCTTATTGGAAGTTACCTAGCTAGGACTATTTTCAGGCGCTGCGTAATATCATTACGCCTGCTGCACCCATGGTACGGCAGCAAAGTTCCTTGATTATTACACCGGAATGAGAGTTCCACCAGACCCGGAGATCGGCTGAATGGATTCGACAATGGTAAAACTCAACTGTTTAACTCTAGGGGACAAAAATAGTGGAGTGTTCCTTTAATAATTTGAACTTGGCTTCGTTTAATGCTAGTTGGATTAGAAATATTGATTGAGTTTTAATGACTTTTCAGTTTCATCATGAACACTGTATTTCAACTATTTGCACCTCAACATATATATAATGTATTCAAAGAATTGAATTTCCAAGGAGACGTCCTTCCTGTAGTTTAGGTCTTCCTGTAACTCAACCGGTAGAAGGTGACAAACAAACAATGCTGTGTCATAATCTGCTTATGAGTGTTGAGAAGGTATTTTAACATCCAGGAAGTAATTTTTGTAGTGATTTTTTTTATGCCATCACAAGCTGATTTTGATCCTTTTTAGACAATTTTAAACCAAAAAAATAAAATAAAGATACATTTATGGCCCAGATATGTGCAGTAAAAATTATTTTAAATGCACAAAATACATTGATTGCTATACGTATAGACCGGTGTGATATAAATCATTATTCTTTGTTTACAAATGTTTATTTTTTTTATGATGTATTTTTGTGTATTGTTCTACAAGACAAATGCTGCATTAAAAAAATCAGCTTTTTAATTGCATCTTAAATTCAAGCGTGCCTTCTAAATGGCAGGAGCTCTCAAAACATTGTATGCTGTGACTGGGCTTTCATTTGATCTTTTTCTTTGCTATCTCTTTTTCTCTGTCACTTGTGCATCACTGCTTTTTGATTTATTTCATTCAGGGGTTCTTTCTTACTTTTTCTGGCTTTTTTCTTCACACTCATCTGTTTTTCTCTCTCTACTCATCTTTGCTGTTGTCTTGGATGGCTTTAGTCTGATAACATTACTGCCCTTGTGCCTGGGGGGGAGCCAGGCTGTCCTGCGTTGTGGCGTCAAGGCTTGCGCAAAACTGGCATTTCACTTGTGCCCAAAAAAGCGATGGTGAGGCCTCGGTGTGTTCAGCATTGTGATTCCCGCCCACCCTATATGTTCTCCCACGTGACCACATCCCTAACCAATCAGATAACTGCCCAATCCAAGACCATTTCCTCTTCCTGTCACTGGCTCACTGCATGGTGTTGTCGTTTTCAGTCGCGGGTGTGATGACGTACTGCTTTCGGTTGAAAATCATTATGATATTATATTTTTATACCTGAATGTGGTGGACTAAATATGACGGGGTGACTTCAATGCTGTGTGTACTTTGATAAGGGTGAATTCATTTACCATTGACTCTAAACCCTAACAGGTCACCAGGATGCTGACGAGTTAGCAAAAACTAACATCTCGATTGAAATTGGGCATGTTTGGTTTTGTCATCTGTGTTGTTATTCAGTATGCTCACTATCTTAGGCCTAGTGCTCTTTTAAGTAAACGATTGTAATGCAAATGTGCATTTCTGAAGCAATGAAAACCACTAAACGGTTCAAAACGGCCCCCACAGCTTTCCCTTGAAGTTTATTTTTGAATTTTAGCAGCATTAGGGCTGGCCATTGATTGATTGTTTGATTTATTAAAATGGGTATTTATTTATTTGTTTATTATAAAAAATATTATAATTTTTTTAAATGGCTATTAATTTTTATTTATAAAATATGGTCACACTTTAATTTGAGGACTAATTCTCACTAATAACTAACTATTAACTACAACTTTTGCCTCAACAAATGCTGCTTGTTAATAGTAAGGTAGTTGTTAAGTTTAGGTATTGGGTAAGATTAAGCTATCTAAAATATGGTCATGCAAAATATGTGCTTTATAAGTACTAACAAACAGCCAATATGTTAATAATATGCATGCTAATAAGCAACTAGTCAATAAAGAGAATTGGTCCCTAATTAAAGTGTTCCCTGAATATTTTTATTTTTATTTTAAATGTATTTAAATATTTGTATATATATATATATTTTTTTTTTACTTTGCTATTACTACTATCTATTTTTTTTATTTTTTATAAAATATTGTATTTATTTTTTAAATACTTTATTTATTTTAACTGTATTTTTTAATAAAAATGTTTAATTGTGTATTTTTTTAAGAATATTTACAATATACTATATATTATTTTGTTGGCAGTTTAAAATTAAGCAACATTGTGTTTTTTTTTTTTTGTGTGTGTTTTTTTGGCCATTGCATTTCCTAAAGATCGAGCTAGTGGATTTTCCGATTAGTTTAAATAATTTCAGAGCATATACATAAATATTGAGATGTACATACAATTCTGAAAATATCAAAACCAATGCTCCCATATTTATGCCCTGCTTTGACCTGTCAGGCTGATCCGATTCCCTGTTCTGAACAACCCTTAATGTTGTTTTACAATGTGTGCTCTCTGTGGTCTAGTAAATACCATCACTGCACAAGTGTGTGCTCTAGATATTCCTGTGATAAAAATATTATATGGTTGGAATTTGGGCTTCTTAGAATGTTGACCTTCCCTAATTGTAAATTGCATAAAAAAAGTCTTGATATACTCCCAAAACGAACTAACTTTTGTTTTCCACTCCCATCCCTTTCTTTATCTGTTGTTTGTCCTCCTCAGGTGAGCACACCTGCAGGGAAGGTGTCTCCTAAAGAGGAGGAGAGGAAGGATGAGTCTCCTGCATCGTGGCGACTGGGCCTGCGGAAAACCGGCAGTTACGGAGCACTGGCAGAAATCAGCACAACTAAAGAGGCACAGAAAGAGAAGGACACAGCCGGGGTGATGCGCTCGGCTTCTTCTCCTCGCCTCTCATCCTCACTGGACAATAAGGACAAGGAAAAGGTCTACTGGAATTTAGTTGTTTAATTTGGGGTGATATATTCTTGTAAACCTTTTAATTGGAAGGGTGGAGCTGTTTGCGTTCATTTCTTGAGATCATTTGCACTCTTGTTTCCAAATTGATAAGTTTTCTTGAGCCACAACAACATCAACTGACACGTCTTTTTCATTTATTTACACAGGAGAAGGAGAAGACACGCCTGGCATATGTTGCACCAACCATCCCGAGGAGACACGTTAGCACATCGGACATTGACGAGAAGGAAAACAGGTAAAGACAGGATGCAATTGGGAGAGCGCCTCCTACTGCTCCATGTTGTGTGTTGCAGTGTGAGAAGCACACGCTCAAGTGTAGCATGTTTTTGTGGCTTATGCACAACATTCATCTTGTACATGAGAAGACTCTCAAATGTCTTTTATTAGCATCTCTCAAAATACTATGATGAGCGATGTTTTGACAGAAGTTAGTTTAGCACTGTAATAGATTTATCAACAGTTGTGCTCTGGAATCGGATGTGCTATTTGTAGCATTTGGTTCTCAGGGATTCGGCTGCTAGTCTGGTACGTAGTGGCTCTTATACCAGGAGACGCTGGGAAGAAGACCCGAAGAACAGCGACGGAACCGCCTCACAAAACAGAACCTCCAGCTATCAGCGCAGGTTAGCTTTTATTCTAGTAACGATATTGGTTTTACTGGCTAGGGGCTCAGACTTTCAAAGAGATGGGCAAAAGCCAGTCGCTGTTTCCTGCTGCTCTGATATGCTTCTAGAACCTTTATGTTGCTGTCAAGCATTTATAGCGGCTTCTGTCGGCTTGAGTTTGCGTGTGACGCTTCGATTGTAATTCTAATTCATGTTAATATTGCCATCCCATAACCATTGTAACTATTGTAGTTTAGATACATAACTAACTAACAGCTAACTTGAGTAGAACTGTAGAGTCTTGGCTCCCTGTCATTGTATGGTCTTTTAGTTAGTCTTTTGAGCATGGTATTCATCTTCCAAATGCATGTCTAAAATGCCAAGATCGCACAAACATGATGATTCCCTTTCAAGGAATTTGAAAAGAATATAAATTCCTGAAATACAAAGGCAGCTGTATTTTCATGCATACATTTAAAATATAGTAAATATAATGAAATAATAGAATAGAGTAGAAAAATAAAATATTATTATACTATTACAAAAACAATTATGATATTAGATAACATGTTGTAATATGCCTTTATTTACCGTTTGGGGTCAGTAGAGTTTATTTTGTTTAAGAAATTAATATTTAATTCAGCAAGAATGCATTACATTTGTTTAAAAGTGATAGTAAAGACATTTGTATTGTTAGCAAAGTTTTCTATTTAAAATAAATGCTTAAAAAAAACAATCACGGTTTCCACAAAAATATAGAAACAGCACAATTGTTTTCAGTGCTGATAATAATAAGAAATGTGCACATCTTGAGCAGCAAATTTGCATATTAGAATGATTCATGAAGGATCATGTGACACTGAAGACTGGAGTAATGACTGCCATCACAGAAATACATTACATTTTAAAAATATATAAAAATAGAAAACAGTTATTTTAAAATGTAATAATATTTCACAGTATTACTGTTTTACTGTATTTTTGCTCAAATAAATGTAGCCTTGGTGAGCATAAGAGACTTCTCTCAAAAACATTCAAAAATCTGACCGACCCCAAACTTTTGAATGATAGCATGTTTAAGTCAAATTATGAAGTCAAAACTATATGCAGATTTGTTTATTTATTACAGTTTCACACTCGAGCTGTCAGTAGAACCAAAAATAATCTGAATAATGAATATCATGATTTTCGATCAGTTTTTAGAAATGGAATTGAAACCGTACTTTCATTAAATGTCTTAAATTATAAATATGCATATATTTAATTAATATTTAGACTTTGCATTCTAACTTTGATGGACATAAAAAACATTTAGTAAAATTCCCTCAAATTTTCCCTAGTTTGAAAACCCTGGTCTAAAGATGAAAGCACCCCAAACCATCCTAATGACCCGAGCGCTTGTGTGTCATTGTGTAACGATGAATTTGCATGACTGCACCTGGTTTGGTTTCGTACTCTGATAAAAACAAAGCATGCTGGAGTGTTGGATCTTTATTTTATATAGCATGCTTATTAGGGGTGTAACGATTCATCGATATGGATCGATACGATGTCTGACGATACGATGCATCGATGCCACGCGTAAAATATCGATATCTGTAGTATAAATAGGCACCTTTATTTTGGCACTGTCCACATTTTCACATAATGTCCGTCTATGCATTACCGCCAACGCGTGCATTCTCGTTCAAACTCACGTATCAGGACTCGATATAAGGACTGCCCGAAGGCTCAAGGTGAGAATAAAAGACGCTCGGAATTGTTGGCGGAACAGTCGAGCACTGTGTGAGAAGTTTTCTGCGCACGCACACAGACAGCCGCGTCTACACCGCACGAATTGAGCTAAAATTGAGCTCTCTTCCGCTTTTTTGTGCATGGATGAATAAATACAGACAAAATTACATCAAAATGCACGTTTTGGCGAATATCCTAGTAAACATATGTCTTAAGACAAGCATATGTCTTAACGTAAACGGTTGAGAAAGAAAAGGCATGTGTATCAGTATATAAAATCTGTGCTTTCGTTCTTAAAGTGAAAGCAAACTAATAATAAATCTAATGCCGTCAAAGAAAAATACAAGTGCTCACTGCTCCTGACTAAACCTTTGTAACATCAAAAATGATTAATCTATATTTAATTTATACAGTGAGGACTATGCAGTTATTTTACATTTGATTATTACATTTCTGTAGCGTACCTGAAAATTTCTTTTAGACTGAGCTGAAAAACCGGAAAAGCACTGTTTATTGAACTTGTGTCTTTGTTATATTGTATTTATTTTCTGCTATTGCTTGTAATTTGGTTATCTGTAGAAAAGATTTTAGCTCTGAGCCCATAGCAGCCAGAATTGATGCCACGCGTAAAATATCGATATCTGTAGTATAAATAGGCACCTTTATTTTGGCACTGTCCACATTTTCACATAATGTCCGTCTATGCATTACCGCCAACGCGTGCATTCTCGTTCAAACTCACGTATCAGGACTCGATATAAGGACTGCCCGAAGGCACAAGGTGAGCATAAAAGACGCTCGGGATTGTTGGCGGAACAGTCAAGCGCTGTGTGAGAAGTTTTCTGCGCACACACACACAGACAGCCGCGTCTACACCGCGCGAATACTAAATTGAGCTCTCTTCCGCTTTTTTGTGCATGGATGAATAAATACAGACAAAATTACATCAAAATGCACGTTTTGGCGAATATCCTAGTAAACATATGTCTTAAGACAAGCATATGTCTTAACGTAAACGGTTGAGAAAGAAAAGGCATGTGTATCAGTATATAAAATCTGTGCTTTCGTTCTTAAAGTGAAAGCAAACTAATAATAAATCTAATGCCGTTAAAGAAAAATACAAGTGCTCACTGCTCCTGACTAAACCTTTGTAACATCAAAAATGATTAATCTATATTTAATTTATACAGTGAGGACTATGCAGTTATTTTACATTTGATTATTACATTTCTGTAGCGTACCTGAAAATTTCTTTTAGACTGAGCTGAAAAACCGGAAAAGCACTGTTTATTGAACTTGTGTCTTTGTTATATTGTATTTATTTTCTGCTATTGCTTGTAATTTGGTTATCTGTAGAAAAGATTTTAGCTCTGAGCCCATAGCAGCCAGAATTGTTTTTCCAATTGTTTATTTTCTTTATTATTTAAAAAAAAAAAAGTGTAGGCCTAGTTTTTTTGTTGTGAATGTCCCAAATTTCAGAGAAATTATCATGTTATATATTTTGGTTGCATTTGCGAGTTAATAAAAATGTAGATGGTTATTTAAAATAGGTAAATAATATCATAATATCGATATATCGATCAATATACTCCTGTATCGAATCGAATCGTAATCGTATCGTATAATTTTTTGAGGTATCGGCAAATATACACACACACACACACTCACTCACTCACTCCATGTCCTCCGTGTGTCTTTGTGTTCCCCACACGTAGCTGCTTGCCATTCTTTCTTTTTGGGGATTTATTTGCCTATGGGGTATAGAGTTATACTATACGTTAGAATGGACTGAATATAGTGCTGGGTGATATATTAAAATATCGCAATGTATTCGTCAAAGTTGAAGAGATGCTAACAGTACCTGTGAAATTTCACAACTGACAATTCCGTTTTGATAGCACAGCAAAGAAAAAATTCAATCAAATATTGCCAAATATAAAGTCTACAGGGTATTGTTTTAATTCAAATATTTCTCAGATGAGTAAACATTAACTAAAAATCAAAGATGCAAATTAAGTAAAGTAAGTGCTTGAAATTAAATATAGAATATTGTCAGTACTTAGATTTCTTTATATCGCCCAGCCCTAATTTTTTTGTTTTATTGGTTTGTTTGCTTATTAATTTGTCTTTTTTCATTTTATTTTTAATCTGTGCTTTATTTGACCTGGCTCGGGTTTGTTTCTTTCTGTTTTGTTTTGTTCATTATGGACCTTGCTCAGGTTTTCAGAATGAGGGAATGCTTTCCTGTTTTCTCCTGTGGTACTTCTTTTGAGAGCGATCTTGCTCTCCTCTTATCTTTGGTTTTGTCCCTTGATTGTTGTCTGTGTTGCTGTAGCGGGTCGTTTGGAAGGAGACAGGATGATGCTTTAAGTTCCACTTCTTCCTCCACCTCCACAACAACGACCTCCTCTGTTACCTCACCCACCGGACATCGCAGCCTGCTGTCCAGGTATGAACACACACAGCCAATTAAACATCCAAACTAAACACTCAGAGTAAGTTCTGTTAGTGAATTGTGTCGATGCATAACAGGTATTGGGCAGAAGAGAGTACGGACAAGGAGAAGGAGAAAGAGTCGGCCACGGTCATCCCCACAATCAACACTGCAGCCACCACCACTACCACCTCCACTACTGGAACTGTGCTGGGCTCTGACGGACGAGAGAGACGCAGGTACACACACATGCACTGCAACATGTTATCACTGAGAGCGTTTTTGCATCAACAGGCAGATTTTTTGATGTCTTTTATTTAGATTCTACATGTCAACATTTTAAATTCAGTTTAAACAATGTATGATGCTGCAGTTCCTAATAAAGGAAGAACTGTCTTATTTATTCTCTAAAGCCTGTTGTTACTCTCATTAAAGCTGCCCTGAAGAGCCTCAACAAAAGTGCGTGTTGCTTCAGTTGGCGACATTTAACTGAGAGGATTTCGTTTCTTTGTGTTGTGTCTGTAGATCATACCTCACCCCTGTGCGTGACGAAGAGTCCGAGTCTCAGAGGAAAGCCAGATCCAGACAGGCGCGGCAGTCCAGGAGGTCCACACAGGCAAGTCTAGACAATCATCTAAACGCCTCTGCAGGAAGTCTCTCTAATAATAGGCAGATCCACAGCGCTGTTTACATGATTCTATCACTGTTTTTTTTGAGAGATTTTGTTGGTTCTTACTTCGGTTTTGGAATATGCTTCCTGGAACAGCTCTGCGATGTGGCAGGGATTTATGGGAGAAATAACCGTTTACAACAGAGAGAAAACTGAGTTTTTCCTTCTTCAAAAGCAAGGCCATGTTTCCTCATTGGGTATAACTAAGGGCTCAACATAAAACACCATAATAGAATATTTACTTAAATTATACATTACATAATCATGTGGTAATGCCTGTCTTCAAATCATCTTCAATTGGGTGAAGTTTAAAGCTGTTGAAAAATGAAAATGCCCTTTTGTGACAGTTTACGTGTACATGTATAGTTTTCTACATGTGATTTTATTATTATTAAAATTATTATCAATTTATTATTGATATATTTGAATACATATTATATATTAAAAAAAAATAATATATTTAAATGATTATAATTAAAAAATATGATTAAAAATATATATTTAAAAATATTAATCATAAGTAAACATTATTGATATATTTTTATTGTAGCATGGTATCATAGTACTGCCCAGCCCTGGTTCTAATTAACAGAAGATATATTGTTGCAGTTATAAAAATAATGACAACATAATTGAGACCATAACAATTTGGGGGGCTATTTAGCAGACTCTGAAATGAATGGCATGATTTTGAGCCTTTGACCTTGTTTTTTTTTTTTTTTTTTTTTTACAAGGAGAAACAAGAAGAGAAGAAAGAGACAGAGAACAAGGAGGATGACTACAGGTCCCGCTACCGCAGCTTTGAAGAGGTGAGGAAAACTCCTTTCTTTCCCCGGTCACAGAGAATTCTAACTAGCATTCTAGTTTTTTAATGTCACATGAATTTCCTTTTTTTTTGTCCTCCAGAAGTACCGGAGCACCTCCTTGGCCTCGACCACCACGGCCTCCTCCACCCTGCCTTCCTCCTCTTCTCTGTACAGCACCTCCACTCTGAACCGGCCCAACAGCCTGAGCGGTCTCACTTCCACCTACAGCCGCACCACACGTGACACTGAGAGAGGTACAGCACACAAACGTACTCAAGACATAATGTCCAAGTCCTCTTTCATCCAAACAAAAGAATAGATTATATACATAAAAACAATGAACTTGCCTGTTGATGGAAGTATTTCTTGTGACATGAAACTTTACAAAACTTTAGTTTTAAGACAATGTACAGCAGTAATTATCACTAAAGGAGAGCCTCAGGTGAACATCATCTCACCTACAATGCATCTGCCAACACAAATGTACCAGTTAGACAAATGCCAAGTTCCTCCTTTTTTTTTTATAAAAATTGGCTGCTTATTTTGTTGGACTGTTTTTGTAGGACTTTAAGGTTCTTCCTCTGTCTTTCATCTTGTATAGTCAAAGAACAGATTGACTTTCCTTCATGTTTGGCAGGACAAACAATTCACTCACATTACTGTTTGTCTGCTGACCCCCTCCTCCCCCTTCAACATCCTGGAATTGTCTCAGCAGCATTAGTCGTCTTAAAAATGAAAGTCGACCTGATTCACAGCCCATCGACTGTCACCTATTACTATTGTAGGAGAAATCACGCTTCCAGCCATAAAAGCAACTACATGGCTAGTCACATGAGTTGTTTAGGGTGTACTTAAAGGGGTCATATGATGTTGCTAAAAAGAACATTATTTGGTGTATTTGGTGTAATGAAATGTTTATGAGTGGGTGGCGTTATGCAAATCTTCCCACATCATGACGTAGACATGTGGGGGCGTGTTAGAACGAGCCGTTTTAGGTAGGCGTGGTTGACTCTTAACTTTTATAAAAAATTTCTCTTTGGATTTGAGACTTTAGTCTTTGCAACTTTACAGATCTTCTTTATGCACCAAGAGCTTGTAACACTCCAAAGAGAAAGGAAAAATTGCAATCGCATCATATGACCCCTTTAAGCTGTTAGTATTGGTGTGACTGGGGTGATATTGTGAGTTCAGTGAGGATAAGATAAATATCCTGCATATCCTGTGTCAACTTGATCCTGGAACCAGATCACTCGCAGTCGGGTGGAAAACTGGGAATGAGGGATTCAAAAGTCGTGACAGTTTATTTGAGTTAGGAAGGTCAAGAATCAAAGAGCAGGACAAAGCTTTGTTTTTGACTGTTAGGTCAGTGGAAGAAGAACAGGAAACATTTTGCACGTGTCAAGTGGAAGAAGCACCAGCTGACGCCTCAAATCATCCTCCTATTACAACACTTTTTCAAGTGCACTTGTTACAGCATGTCATCCAGGTTTAAATTTAGCTCAAATATTGCCGAATAGAGCTAAAGATCAGTTTTTGGTTGGATGGTTCCAAATGATAAGTGTTCAGCGGGCCGCAGTATGAAAGAAAATCTAATGGGGTCCGTGGGTTCTTTATGAGACAGCTGTTTTTTTGTTAGCTTAATAGCACACATTTCCTCTTAGTGTGCTGTTCTGTATCGAAAAAAGGAAGTTCTGACACAAAGCTAAGTGCTTCAGTGTGCTTCCAGGGCAATCAGCTAAAGGAAGTGGGCCGCGCTGTCACATGGGTCATTGCCTGAGAACTTCTCACAGCCCAGGCTCTGAGCTCCGGTCCTATTCTCAGTACTGAGGCTTCATACTGGCTCCCGGCCCAATGTTTCCAACCTTTAGCTATGAGAAGAGATGAGGGAATATTTTGGTTGCGTTTAGAATGGAATACTATTTGACTGCATTTAAAAAAAAAATAAAGAATGAACAAATATTTAAATAAAGTTAATATGTTTTAATATAATATAAAACATTAAAATATATACTTTTTATATTTTTATATTAAAATATAATTGAATATAAATTACCTTTTTTTGTGATATTTAATTAATATATTTATATATATATATAATGAGTATGAGTGTATATATATTTATTCGTATTTCAATATTATATCATATTATGTTATATGAATATTTTTCAGCAGTCCAATTAAATAATTTAAGCAACAGGGTTCCCATGAGGAATCTGGAAAAGTCAGGGAATTTTTGTAATTTCCAGACCTAAAGAAGATAATCTTTATAGTTCATAGGCACGAATATACATTTTTCTAATTAAAATCAGTTGTAAAATATTTCATCAGCTAAAACTTGGTGTCTTCTGAGTTCAGTCTCTATAAAACGATAAAAAAAAAAAATGTAACCAGTAATTACGTAGGACTGGAACCATTAAAATTAGTCTTTCAGAAGGTGAGAGAACTATTATTATTCAGGTTAATTTGCCACACACATAAAGTATCATTGCCTTATGGGATACTGTGTCTCACATCATGTGCTGTGGTGGAATACTGCACATTTTGTCAATTGGTAATAGTTTCATGCATACGGAATATTAGATTGTGCACAGTATGCATATTGCATACTACTAACTTCCAAAAATAGTGTTTAGTATGCCATTCCAAACTCATTCCAATACTCTTGTGTGTGCTTTGAGCGGCTGGGGAATAAGAGCAGACCCAGAAGTCTTGGCTGCTGATCAGGAATTCATGAAGAAAAGCCCAGCAGGGCTGAGAGGTCTCGGAGCTCAGAGAAAGAAGAAAACGGCAGGAGGAGGGAATGATGATGACCAAAGTCCTTTTACTTCCATCTTGATAAATGTGACACTTGCATGGAAGTCGAACATTTTGAAGCATGACTCTTATTAGGACAAAATCAAATGGATTACACCCAGATGTCTTCAAACACGTCCTTTACTGTAGAGCAGTAAATGATAGATTGCTGACCCGTGCGGACTCTCATTAAATAGCAGCGTTAAGCAGGCCATGAGAGCGTCACAATCCATCCCAGACTAATTGATAATCTGCTAGTCTAGACACTAGACAAACAGACACACTAAATGCATTATGAGCATGTGATTGATTAATAGCAGGTACAGACTTTGTAATAACTTCCCCTCTCTCTCTCTCTCTCTGTTCACATCCACAGAGCGACAGACTATCCAGGTATGTATCCCAAAAAACACTTAAGAGCAGCTAAATATGCATGTCTTCATGCTTATTATGAGAACCCAAATGAATAATATAAGTAACCCTCATTTTTCCCCCTCAGGAATGACCCTGTTTCTACTAGCACTTCCTCCCTCGACCGTTATGAGTCTTTGAGTAGCCGTGGCATTGGGGAGAGCCGGCGGCCGTACTCTCGCTTCGAAAGAGACGACACCACTGATTATAAGAAGGTACAAACTTTGCACTGTATGATTACGCCCTGTAAAATAGTGGTTTCCTTATAGTTGAGTGTTTACCCAACATGCTCTTTCCGCTTGCAGCTTTGTGAGCAGATTTTAGCTGAAAACGAGAAGTTGAAAGCTCAGTTACGTGATACAGAACTGGAGCTGGCAAACCTGAAACTGCAGCTGGAGAAAGCCACGCAGGTGAGATCCTGTCCAGGATTCGTTTTCTGAGAGACTCCTTGTGAACTCTATGATGGAAAGTTTGCCCATATATCATCTTGCACTCGAAGAGACACCAAGACAAAAAACACAACGACAATTCATTCTTCAACGTTAAAATTAATCGCGATAATTGTAGTACTCTCACACTGCTTTGTTGCATCAGACAGGGTTGTCACTGTCATGGAAAACCTAGAAATATGAGTGAATTTTAAAATTTGATTTCCAGTAGGGCTGGGCGATAAATCGATAACGATAATTATCGCACGATATAGATTTCCTCGATAAACGATAACAAGAGTTCGATAAATGTTTGATATAATGCGGCAAAGGCGGAACGAAAGAGCGCTAGTCATTTGAAGCACGCCAATCGGAGCGTTTATCCGCTCGGATCAAACTGCGGAAAAAAACCCCCCAACAATTCATTCTTCAATGTTAAAATTAATCGTGATAATTGTAGTACTCTCACACTGCTTTGTTGCATCAGACAGGGTTGTCACTGTCATGGAAAACCTAGAAATATGAGTGAATTTTAAAATTTGATTTCCAGTAGGGCTGGGCGATAAATCGATAACGATAATTATCGCACGGTATAGATTTCCTCGATAAATGATAACAAGAGTTCGATAAATGTTTGATATAATGCGGCAAAGGCGGAACGAAAGAGCGCCACTCGGAGCATTTATCCGCTCAGATCAAAGTTCAAACAGCGGCACGGCGTGAGCTTCACTAGAGCAGATGAGATGAGTCTCGCTCACGCGACACTGAACAGCGCTGTGAGATCCAGTGTGAAGCGCTTGAATTCAGCGAGGAACACAACTCTGTTTACAGCCAGATGAAACAGCGCTGACAAACAGCAGAAACACTGTGCGCAACGATACAGTCAGAAGACTTTTTATTAATCTACAAATCGCCATCATTTACCATGGATTTACTGTAGTAGCACTAACTGCACCATGGTATTGTGTCAGAAATGTTGGTATTCGTGTCGAATTTTATTATATTATTAATGTAGACATGTATTAAATATATTGAAGGAGGGGTAATGGAATATAATTACAGTATTTTTTTGTGATTAAACTATAGCGTTTATGCATTTATAAATGTATTTAGACTACTGTTTCTCATAAATACCAACAAGCCATACTAATTTTTTACCATGGTATTGAGGTGCTATATTTGTGGTTTTAACTGTGATTATCATGATCTAAATGTATGTTATGAAAGACCAATGGTTAAAAAAACACCTTAAATACCTTAAATAGTCAGAATAATTACATTTCACCATATAAAAATGAGATTGCTAACATTTTTTACAGATATTACTGATTTTGATAATGAACATAAATCTACATCTGCATCCTAACTCAAGCTACTATCAAATGTGTATTTCTAAGAGACAAAAAAATGTTAATTAAATGTTAATTAAAATGTAATTAATATTATCAGGCAACACAAACTTGTTTCTTGATTTGAAACAATATTACTCATTATTAGAACATGCAGAACTAAGACATTTTTTTCTATTAAGATATTTATTTTGTTAATGAAAAATGACTGGAGAAGTGTAAAGAATTCAAAAACGAAGTGTTTGTCATGTTCCGACCATAAAGAATAGTTGAAAACCACAATTAACCATCTGTTTTTTTACAACTTTCACATTAGAGCAAAAATCTGCCTTTAAACTTTTAAACATTTATCGTGACAATTATCGATATCGACTGATATGAAAAAAAAATATCGAGATAATTTTTTGGCCATATCGCCCAGCCCTAATTTCCAGGCTGGGAAAAGAAAGAATAGAAATGAATATAGAATAGAATAAAATTAAATTAAATCAGCAGCTTTGTAATTTTTTTTCCTTATTTCCCTAAAAACTTACCCTATTGTGGGTTCCAATTTTAATACCGTCGCATTGTGTTGTTGAATCGGTCTTGGAAAACCTAGAAATATCTTAAAATGTGAATTTTAAGTTCAGCCTGGGAAGAGAAAGACTAGAAATAGCTAGAATCAGTCAATCAAATTAATAAATTAATCCAAATAAATCCAAATACATCCAACCAATATGATTTCTAGGCCAGAAAAAGAAAGCCCCTGAGCTCATCCATTGTGTTGTTTGTGTTACAGAGGCAGGAGCGCTTTGCTGATCGATCACAGCTAGAGATGGAGAAAAGGGTAAAAACAACTGTTACTTGAATTTGTTGTCTCGTGAAACATTTCTGTTGAGTTTTAATGTATCGAATCCTCGTTCACCATCCAAGTTAATGTGCCATGGCAGTAGATAAGCAGATGTACTTCACACTAATGCAATGATGGGGCATTCAGTCCATAAAGGAGCCTTTATGGATAAAGCCCCATATCAGCACATCTCAACTCAAATGCTGAGATGTTTACAACCTGATCCAGATAAATGCTGAATTCTGGCCTCCATCGACCTAATGGTTTGTAACTGTTCCACACTGGTTTATGTCTGAAGGTTGCAGGCAGGTGTCAGGCTCAGCTGGGTGCTTTGGGTAACGTTTAACCTGAATTTAAAGTGTTTACAGCTCTGCTAGTGGCTGAATCACATGCCTCTCACAGCCCCGGGGGGTTGGAACCAAACCCCGTCAGCCAATCACGATCCCTCTTTCACTCTTTTTCTTGAAATCACTAAAGCGGCACACCTTTCCAGACTTGAAAAGAATAATGTATCATGTGAGATAGAGAGTATGGTGTGGTTTCTCTTTCAAACATCGTATCTGCATGTGTGTGGGACATCATCTTTGTGTGAAAATCATTCGAAAACTTGTATTTGCTCTTTTGGTTCCCGTTACATCCATTTAGAGTATTTACGTAGTTTATATGTATATTAGTTATTTGCATTATTCCTTAAATTATGCACTAATTTTGTCTGTTGTTGAAACGTAGTACACATGCCTATATACTGTACATATACTGAACTTTTTTTTTAACTACTAATTTTAAATAAATGTAAAAAAATGTATTTTTTTCAGAAGCACACACATTATATTTATAGTATTGTATTTGTATGATTTATATTTTATTATATAATTTTTTTTACTAATAAAATAAAATAATAATTATTTAACCATTTTCAAATAGTTATTATTACTTTAATTACACTGTACAGTTAACTTGATGTGCTCAGACCAGGTGTGAGCTTGAACAAACCGGACTATATTTCTAGCTCTTGATCTGCTTCACTAAGCAGTGTGTGGTTTCCTTCACTTTGTTCACGTCTTTCTCTGTTTTGACGTTGATTCACCTGATGCATCCATGATTCTGTGTGTGTGTGTATCTTTCTTTGTTTGCAGTGATGGTGAATCATGCAGATGTTTGTGTTTTATGGCCATGTGAGCTAACTTGTCAGTATGTGTGTCTGCAGGAAAGAAGAGCTCTAGAAAGGAAGATCTCTGAGATGGAGGAGGAACTAAAGGTACTTTTTGTTTGTGTTTTTAAACTGTGTGTGTGTGTGTGTGTGTGTTGTGTGCATCACCAATAAAAACAAAAATGAAAAACTTTGCATGTTGATCCATTTTTTGTATCATGTGTTTGTATGTGTCTATATGGCTAAGTATGCTAGCATATAGATTACCTCAGTTATAACAGCCATGGACTAAAAGCTACAAAACTTTGCCCCCTTTTGGTTTTGTTGGGTCTTTAAGGCTCGTATATAAGACTGCGTTTTTGTTGTTGTTATATTATATCTGCTTCATAGTGAGTGTGAAAAAGCCCAGTTTACCCATTTCAGCCATATTGTTATATTGTACATTCTTTTAAATCTCTTTTCTGACATGAATATCTTATGACAAGTTGGCTCTTTTTCTGATGTGTGATATACTTTTTTAAACGTTTTTGTGGTGACTACAAAGAAGTTAATGTTAAAAGACGTGTGCGTGTGTGTGTGTGTGTGTGTGTGTGTGTGTGTGTGTGTGTGTGTGTGTGTGTGTGTGTGGAAGGTTAGCAAGATTTATAATTTTTTGAGGTTATGCAAGACAATTTCTCTAGCCTTTGGTTTGCATGTTTTAATCTTTCTGCGACATGATGGATTGTTGTATTTCAGTATTATGGTGTTCACCACTGAATTCACCCTATTTCTTAAGAGAGTATGTGTGTATTTGTGTGCATGTGAATCTATACATGAAACTACATTGAGGACTAAAACTGATATATACATTTTTATAATTTATTTATTTGTTTATTTATTTCTTTTAATTAGTATTTTACTTTTTGGTTAGTCTAGCAGTATTTCCCAACCTTTTTGACTCCAAGGGCCCCCTATTGTCAAAGACAATATTTGAAGGTCCCCCAAGATATTTCTGGTACTTGTTATAATGACAAAGCTGCTCGTTAAATTAAAAAAAAAAAAAATGTATACTGAAACTACTGGTAATATATTAAAATTCCATGATTCTATAACTTTCCATAACTGTTATTCAGGGTTTACTTCTTGTATTTATTTATTTTTTAATTGCCAATGAAATTGCTAGTTATTTGTGGTTACAGGTTTTTTGTATTATTGTTATTTTGTACTCACACATAGCAATTTCTACCTGATAAAAAATGTTAGAGCTTGAAATAACTAGACAAATTCTATTTTTTTTATTTTTTTTTAAATCCATGACATTTTAGAAATTTCCATTCAGGTCTAGAAATCACACTTTTAAAATTCTCAGTTCTTAAGGGAACAGATTAAAATCAGAAATGATGTCAGCTAATGTCTTGATTTTTAGCTGTTTTAGCTTTTCAAGATTTAAAATTTTTGTTTTATTTTATATAATTTTAAACCATCTTAATGTCCACTTGGAAGTGTGCTTAAGCCGCCAGTTGGCCACGACTCCCTAAAAAAAATAGATGTCTATTAAATGTCCCCATTTATAGCTAAGTGAATGTGTGTGCGTTTTCCTTTTCAATTTCTTTGAATTATTTTTGAGATCCCATACTTTTTTTTTCCTTCAGTGATCTATCGTTCCCTTTAATAGTTTACGTTATCACATTATTCCTTTTTTGCATTTTTTTTGTCTGATGTCTATCATCTTCTCCTCTATCGTTCTTTCTCTTTCTCTGTCTCTCGTAGAATCTTCCTCAGGTAAAGCAGGTGCAGTCTCTGCGTCAGTATAACGAGCGTTTGCAGGCAGAGAACAGGGCGCTGGCCCGCGTGCTCTCCAAAATCTCACAGGGCTGCAGCCACCTTCCCGCCGCAGACCTGTAGACCCGCCCCCACCTCCCCTTACACCCCTCCTCATGCTCCATTCAGCTCCGCCCACACCCATATAAAGGCAGGTGCCAGCCTGTGTCTGAGCTGATACTCCGCCTCCCTTTTTGGTTTTTTTTTTTTTTGTGGAAAACACAGTACAGTTATCGCTAAAAATGGCTACAAAAATACTGTACATTTTATGTATTTTAGAAATTACTGATATTTTGCACATTTATCATTAAAACAGTACATAAAATAAGTCTGCTGGATTTTTTTACGAATGACATTATACAAAAGGCATGTTTCTTTCATTAAATTAATATTAATTCAAAATTAAAACTAATAATTTTTACCCAGATTTTTATGAATGATGCTTACAAATGACATCTATAAAATTCTACTTTCATTTAGAATAAAATATTTACCTTTTATTTTTACAAATGACATATTACAAATTGTCAGTACTAAATATTTATATTTTTGAAACTTTTTTTTTTAGTAATAAATTGTACTGTTTTTTTTTTTTTCCCCAGCTTGTTTTAACTTTTTTGGGTCCTCCCCCTCGAATGTGTTGCTGTGAAGTGCAGTTCCTTTTGGATGACTCCAGCATCTTGCATGAGGTGCTTGACTGGTTTTTGTGAAATCAAATATAGTTTCTCGGCTTTTTTTTAATTTTGGAGACCCCCACCCATCCCCCCAGTCCCAGATTTTTTTGGTTCTGGAGCTGAACTTCTATTTATGCCCTGCCTGAGCATAATCTGGATTGCATGGCTTCTGGAAACTCATGCATTTTAATCCACAGATTGTCGCTGGCAAACGCTTAAATTACATTGGAGCTTTTCTAGCATAATCTAGCTGATTGTATACAGAATGAAACGCATTTTTGGGATGCTTATCTGTTTGCCGATAGGCCTCAAACACAGTATATTATTACTTTTGTTGTCTAGGTTTTTAAGTTGTTTCTTTTACTCAGTTCTGTTTTGTGACTTACTTTAACACTGTTTTTATGGACTCTTTTTAATGCATTTTTCCAGTCTACAACTGCAGTACTCAAACTGTAAACCACTCTCTTGGGAAGTATCATTGCATCGTTAAAATGTAATTGTCAGTGGCGAGTTTATCACAAGGAAGTTGTTTCTTTGCGTTCCTGCAAAATATCTAAAGTTCTTCACTGGCACACGATTTTTTGCCTTTCTTCTTAGAAATATTTCACCCAAAAATGAATGTTCTGTCATCGTTTACTCACCCCCATAAGTGTTATAAACTTGGATGACTTTCTTTTGTGGAAGTTAGGTAGCAAAAAATGTACCGTTAAGCTTACTAGGACTGTAAAACTTCATATTGAGGAAAAAAAGGCACCATGAAAGTGTATGACTCTTGCTCTGTTTTAGGACCTGTGAGGTTACACAATGGCTTTTTGTGCTTTTCTTTAGCTTGACTTCCTTTAGTTGTTCACAAATAGAAAGAAAGTCACACAGGTTTGGATCTATATGAGAATGAATAAACGATGATGACTTTTTCATTTATGGTTGGACTATTACTTCAGCTAGTTGCTCCCAACAGATCCTTTTTCATAGCTGCTTCTTCCTTTTTTCGTAAACATGTTTGATTGTATTTACAAAACTCCGTTTCCAGTTAGTCCAATTAGTAGAGTAGTTTTCCTGACTTCTATCCGTCTGTGCAGTGTTGTACGGTCGATGAGGCCAGTGGTGGTGAAATCTCAGCTACAGATCTCAGCTTCAACACTGTAACCTGAAGACTGAAGCAGGTCGGGTATCGAGTAGCACTCAGTGTTGTGGTTTATACAGACACTTGTGTTCCAGCCCCTTTATTTATTCCGTCCAGTCGAGGACACACAAAGGGACTCTGTGTGTACAGAGAGAGAGAGGACCGAGAGAGGCCCGAGTGCTGTCCTCCTCTTTACCCTCCATCTGAGAGTGCATGGCTACGGTTTCCCATTGATCTGCAGTGTGCCTGTGTGGATCGACGGTGCCTTTTCTACCGAAATGGTGCTGGTTCTGGTGATGAGGAATCTGCTAACTGAGAAACGGGTATATATACAGTATGTATACAGTATGTATGTATATATATATATATACAGTATGTATGTATGTATGTATATATATACACAGTATATATATGCATGTAAATTATCAAATGTAAAATAAAAAATACATATATAATTGCTGCATATAAATGTACATCAAATGTAGAATTAAATCTATATAGAATTAAAACTTGATACTATTAAATTATAATTGTAGTCATTGTTATTAAATGAAAATGTAAATGTCAATAAATATTGACAAAAATGAATACTCATTTTAATTTGTTTTTCTATTTTTTGTAAGTATACTTTTGGGTAATTAGTGTAAAACTGGGGGGAAAGTTTTTTTTTTACCTTTTACATCAAGCATTTTGAGTCTGCAGTGAATGTTTGGTTGGGAAAAAAATATTAAAAAGATAATTTTAAGTAATTTCAGAGCAAATATAAAATTGAGATGTGTATCAAATATAATCAGAAGAATGAAAAATATTGAGAGAATTATCGCCTGCCCAGCGATTAGACATTATCGTGCTATTTATTATTGGTTCTAGTCCAGCAGTTTTCAGGAGACATTCCCGAGCCGTTTCTTCCCCTATCCCAGAACCGCCATCTTTCTGATTCCAGATCAGACACCATCACCATGTCGGTTAAAAGGGGGGGTTGTGTTGAATAGGAAGTGCAACAATCAACAAACATCAGTATCTAGAGCCACGCCAGCAACACAAGCACTCGTCCTTGTCTGTTAATCTAACCCGTCCCTCTCCTGTTCTCTCTTCCAGACGCTACCAGACTTGAAAGCAGACAACCAGAGGCTAAAGGACGAGAATGGAGCGCTGATCCGAGTCATAAGCAAGCTTTCCAAATAGAAAAGACCCTCTCCACAACCTCCGGCAGTAACGGTATTGCACATCTAGATATTAATACGAGACAATGGCGACAAGAAGGCTCCGTCTCCCCCTCCGTTTCTCAGTCCTCGGCTTTCCCTCGCTTCCACCGCCTCACCGCTCACACAGAACCACTGCGTTTACAGAACTAAGGAAAAGCGTTAGGCGAGAGAATGGCATTGAACACTTTGCGGGCGGGGAAAGCCTCGAAAAACTATTGAACCAATAAGCCTTAGTTGTACATACGTCACTTGCATCAGATTTCTCTTGGCTGTCACAGAACACCTGATTTTATTTGTGCCACACTTTTTTGTGATCTCCTTCTTTTTTTTTTGGCTGTTGTTGTTTTTTTGCTCCGCTCTTTAATCTTCCTTCCTGTATAGATGTGTTATGCAATGTGCAGCTCTCTCCTTCCATGTCCTCTTCCTGTCCTCCCGAATCACGCCCCCTTCCCAAATCGTGCTAGAAGTCTCGTCCTCAGAGGCACTGTCTCTCAACAGAAGACTTCCCAGCATTCCACAATGATGAGGAATCTGCTAACTGAGAAACGGGCCATTTCAAACCCAAATGATGCCGCAACAATTTTGACATTTCATTTATTTAGCAAATTATAGCAATTATTATATTATTTTATTTTGCTATTGCTATAATTGCACATATAAAACGTGACATGACAGTATGAACGCATTAAAACGGAATTTATTCCAATGGTCCTATTGAGTGAATCAGTTCAGCTCTGACTAACACATGGGATTTTTCATGTATTAAAGCTTAAAAAAAATTATATTTAACTATATATATATATATATATATATATATATATATATGTGTGTGTGTGTGTGTGTGTGTGTTTTTTGCTCTGTAAATCATGCTTGAGTTTCAAAATCTGAAACAAATAAAATCCAATGTATTCACTAATGTTGCAATGATTTATTATTATTATACAATTATTTAATATCGAATTATATTTAATATCTATAATCTCTTTATATTAAAAGGTAAGAATTGTTTATATTGATTATACTCATTTTTTTATATTATGCTATATTACACATACACATTTTATATATTTGAATATATATACTAATGTTAAAATTATTATTAGAAATGTAATTATTTACTGAATACCTGTGTTACACAAACTATTACAAAGTGGAAGAATTTTTTATATATTACACTATTATATCATATTTGTTATATTATCTGTAAAGCAAAATTGAGTTTTAAAATCTGCTATGTAAATCAAAATGTATTTACTACTGTTATTATTACTACTACAAATGTAATTAGTTATTGAATGTCTGTGTCTTTTGTTGACACTGCATTTATTTTAAATCTGAATCAAACATTCCGATGCATCCGGATGCTGGAACATGCAATGTGCAGCTCTCTCCTTCCATGTCCTCTTCCTGTCCTCATCAGTCACGCCCCCTTCCCAAATCGTGCTAGAAGTCTCGTCCTCAGAGGCACTGTCTCTCAACAGAAGACTTCCCAGCATTCCACAATGTTGGCGCACGCTCCGCACACTTCCTCCGCGAGAGAGACGACGGACCCCTGACTTTACCGATTCGGCGGACCTCGTGGAATCGAAGCTTTCACTTATGTGCAATATATGCATTTCTTTCTATACAAATGCTTTAAGAATGTTCACTCTTTCACCACTTTCGTGGCTCACCCCGGTTTCCTTCCTCTCCCCCCCGACTTACTTTGAGTTTGTAATGTAGTCGTTGGTTTATATCTTGTACTCCTCACGTTGTTTTAGCAGGTACTGAGTGAAGTTGTATATACCTGTATGTATCGTTTGAGACCAGCACATGGCATGCGTTTATGGTTCCCTGTCTGTTACTATTGAAATCTACCAACTCCAGAGGACAAAGTGTGTTTTAACGATTTCCTCCTCCTTTTATATAGTTGGAAAAGACATTGAATAACAATAGAGCCGCCCTCTTCAAAGAGGGACGGCTGCACTTCTAAAGTGCATTTTTTTTTCCCCTCCTCAGTTTTAAAAGTGTTCACAGTAATTGTGAGATAATAATGTAATTGCTTCACTACATTTCACACATTTTATTCAGTATCTTTGGAAGAGTGCTGTTCATTTTTTTTCCCCTCCCTTTTCCAGTTTGTTCTTTTTTTTTTTTTTTTTTAAGCTGTAGTATTAGCCAAGGTGTTGTCACTAAAAAGAAGATCCTAGATATCGCTAACCCAGTCCTTTTTACAATGTCTACATGCACTGTCAATGCCATGTCAGGAGTCTTGCTGTCCGGTTTAGCGAACTTTTGCCAGCGTGTCAGATGAAGTCCATGCATCAGAAACACGTTTTATGCATTTCAGTGGCCTTTTACTTAAATACTGTAGTCGGAAAAAAATGTCGCTGTAGTTGGACTGTCAGCTGTCTCCTCTTTGGTTTAGGTTTTTAATTTGTTGGTTTTTTTTTTTCTTTTTCCTTTTTAAATTTCCCATCATCTTGTAAAATAGATGTGTGGCTTCATCCGTGCAAGCTGTGCTGTGACTACCAACCACTGAGAGTTAATTAAAATAAACTTGTACATTGTAAAAATCTCTCTGCTTTTGCGTCCTATTTATTTATTTTTTCAATTCAACTGTTGTCAGATTATCATGCTGTTAAATGTAATAAACTCAACCTGTTGAGATCCAGTGCCCATTCTTATATAAATAAATACATGCATACATGCAAGTACTTTTCATGAGTTTTCAGGGATTGAAAAAGGATTATATTGTTGCTTTGACCAATAAATAATAGTATTAATAATAATAAATAAATAAAATGAATTTAAATTGATTTTCTAGATATGAATTTAGGAATGATCTTTGAATATAGTCCAAGTTTTACAGGGATCTTACACTTTTGTTCACAATATTTTTTTTTATGATAGTGAAAAAAAAATAGTAAATTCTGCTTTTGGTCAAATTAAATGCTGCTGTTTTGAAATGGTAAAACTCAAAGAACTGAATCCACAGCAGCTTCAGCACCACTAGATGGCGCCCGCCTGAGCTCAGCACTATCAGCTCCAATCAACTCTCAACCTGGCATGCTTTTGGTAACAGGAAAAGCAGGAAAAGTGTTTCTTGAGTATTGTGAGTTTTTTTCCCCCTCCTGATCTAACATAAGGCTTGCATTTCTCTATGTGAACTCTCAAAGTATGTTTTGTTTGGTTTTTCCTCTGGGGCTTGAAGTTACCAAATGTCCACAGACAAATCCAGATAAAACATCTCGAATTAAAGGGATAGTTCACCCAAAAATGACAGTTTTTAAAAAAAATCATTTTTGCATGAAACTATATGAGGGTGTGTAAATGGTGATATCGTTTTCATTTTTGTTTGAATTGTCACTTTGTTTATTTTAGCATTTCTCACAGAACCACAAGTGCAAAGTCCTTTCCAGACTGCATTGATACATGTGTTTGGCAGCGAATGCTGCATGTTCTCATTGTGGCATGAAGAGCTCAAATAATGCAATAATACACTCTAAAAAATGCTGGGTTAAATACATACATACATACATTGGGTTGTTTTGACCCAGCGGTTGGGTTAAATGTTTAACCCAACTTTCTGGGCAGTAACCCAACAGCTGGGTCAAAACAACCCAATTGCTGGGTTTGTCCCTATTTTACCCAGCACTGGGTTGTATTTAACCCAGCATTTTTTAGGGTGTACTTTGAGGATAAGAGGCTGTATGGGCAGTAATTGCACATAGTCATGCAATGGGACTTTTCCTCTTTCTTCGTATATTTTTCCATTTAAGTCTTGCGGAGACCCCTTCATTCTTCTGGTTCTATCTCAAAGCTTACTTGACAAAAATGAATGTGGAAAAGATCAGTTGGAGTGTTTCCCGGTTTAAAAGCAGGAAACTTACAAGAATCCAAGGCAATTATAGAAACAAATAGATTCCGTGCTTTCATTTTTTTTGGTGATTTGCACCAGCAGGCCGACCTGGATCAGTTGAAGCAGTGTATGCGTCATGTCACATTTTATGCTTACACTTGAGTTATGTGATTAAACGATTCATATGCAAGCACACCAGGTTGTGGAAAAGGTAAATTGTGAGCATTTTATTGCTTGGTGGAATTCACAAAGGATAAACTGATGCATCAAAAGTTGCTGAATGAAGTTCAGCTGGTATAGTCAAGTGAAATAAAGAATAGCTATAATGAAGATAATCATCATGAATCACCCATTAGTGCTGTGTGTTCTAATATTAAGGAAAGTAGTACTGTCTGTCAAATGCATAGTGCCATAATCTTACTATTTCTTTGTATTACTTTGATTGGACTACCAAAAGTTCAGAATTTAAAGAATTTTAGAATTTAAAGAAAGCTCAGATGATGTTTTTCTGTTTCTAGTTTATTTTCTTTTGTTTGACAGAAGACTTTTTGTGTACATATTTTTTTCTTTTGCTTCAGTTTTTTTTCTTGAGCACAGAAAGCTTTTTTTCTTGCTTGAGTTCAAGTCATTTTGATTCTGAGAGGATTTTCTTTTTCCTCTAAATGCTAGTTCATATTGGACTAAAACCTGATTTTGCTCACACAGGGTATTTAAACATTTTGTACTTTTTTTTTTTTTTTTTTAGATTTTTTCCCCCTCACCTTGTTACACTTGTGGTGTTCCCAGTCAAAACTGATGACAAAATAATGCTCTTTTCATTCGTTCAAAATCCAAAACCTCTGCTAATTAAAAGTCAAGTAGTTTACAAATAGATTAAATCAAAGATTTGGTGATATAGCATAATGAGAGATTTACAAGCAGTTTTTAAAAGGCTGGTCATTTTTGACCTGGAGCACCAAATTAGTATTTTCACCACAGCACAAGGGTTGATACACATCTGTATAACTATATATATATATATATATATATATATATATGTATGTGTGTATGTATGTATGTATGTATGTATGTATGCATGTATGTATATATATATATATGTATGTGTATATGTATGTATGTATATATATATGTATGTATGTATCTGTATG